TTGAGTTTGGTTTTGCTTTTCAATAGCAGTATCTAATTGAGCCTGAGTTGGTCGTTGGCTTCAACCCTTTTCTCATTCTTGCTCAGTAATATTTAGGTCTGGTCTTTTTTCTAATTCAGGTATTCTAACTAATTCAGTTTCTCAATTAGCCGGCAAGTTAGCGGGTTTTAACTCAGCATTTTCATACTTGTTTTTTCAGTTATCTCGCTCACTTTCTAATGCTTCATAAACATTTATTTCACTCGTCCAGAGTTATATTTGGTCGTAGGTCTCTTTCTTGAATCAAACTTTCAATTTGCTCTGACCAGTCCTGAGGAATAGATTGGTAAAAATTAATCAGACTAAATAAAGTTTGTCCAATCGGTAGATTAGTTGGTAAACTATTTAAATCAGTAGCAATTAGCCCCAAAACATTTTGTAAGTAATCTTGGTAAGAATTAACTTCTCTTTGGGAGTTGTTATATTTAATTTCTCATTGATGAACTTCTGATTCAGTTTGCTGGACTTTTTGTTCTCAACTTTCGGAACGAGTTTTAAACGCATCTCATTCTCTCTCCGCTTGCTGGCGAGCATTTCGTTCGTTGGTTAAATCTAGTTGCGTAGGACAAGCATTGAATTCCTGAGTAATATTTTTATTTTCCTTTACCAAGTCGGCGAATTCGGTTTCCAATTGAGTAGCATTTTTATCAGGAAAGATTTGGGTTCAACTTGCCAATTCTATTTTAGTCTTATTATGCTCTGCTTGCTCATTAAGAAATTTGGTTTGAAACTCTCTTTCCTCTTGCTGGCTTTGAATTAATTGGGGTTGAATACTGTTAAGATTATTAACTAAATTATTATATTCATCAACAGTAATGTTAGGGCGGCTATCTCTTTCGCTGGTTAAAGTTATTTTTTTCTTATTTAGACCTTGAATTTGGTCATTAGCAGCCGTTAGATTTCTTTTTGTTTCTTCCAGTTCAGCGTTGAGTTGTTTATTTTGCGTTTTTTCTTTGAAAAATTTTATTTTTAATTTTTTTTCATTACTATCTCTATTTTTCAGCAGATTATTTTTTTGCTTTTTTAATTTCTTATTTTGCTTATCTTTATCACTTATTTCAGAGTAAAACTTTTCCAAACTGCTGCCATGAACAACTAATTCTTTTTGTTTTATTCCTGCAATTTCACTGTTTTCTAATTCAACTATAATTTTATCCTCTTTCTCTGCGTTTTGATTGTCTATTTGCTCATAAATGGATTGTCAAGGAGAATTGAGCGGACAAGTATTTTCGGACTGACTTCAATTAGTCGAAATTACTGACTGGCTAAAATCATTAGAAAGGCGAGAACATTCACAAGAATTATTTACTGGATTGGAAAGTAAGTTGACCGAATTTAGTCCATGTCGATAAGTACCATAATGCGATAAAGCTAAAAAGGCCGCACTTCCCAAAACTCTTCCAGCTCGTTTAATGTTAAGGCGAGAAACTTGTTTAAATGCTTCTTTACTTTTATTAAGCAAAATATTCGCTGATTGTTGAAAATAATTAATTCGGGATTGGGGATTATCGAGAGAACTTTGACTTAATAGCAGTTTCTTATTTTGTTTATTAAGATTATTTAAATTTATTAATGTATTAGCAAGATTTTCGAGCAAAGTTTCTTTCTCGGCTTGGAGAGAATTAAGTTGGATTTGCAACTCATTTCTTTTTCTCTCAATTTCTGACAAGTCCTGATTTTTTCTGAGCAGTTCAGCTTGAGTTGCTTGGTGAGTATCTTGTTCGGTTGAGAAATTATCACGGGCTTGTTCTAACTCTGCTTCGGCGGAATCTAATTGTGCTTGCACTGCGTAGATTTCACTATTAAGTTCAGTAATTTTTTGTTGTTTTTGGGCGATATCTTGCTGGTGTTGTTCTTGTAAATTGTCTTTTTTTTCGGCTAAAATTTGAAAGCCCTCAGTAGTATTAGCCAATTCCTCAAAAGTCCTATTGTGAGCGATTTGTTCTTGATTTAAACTGTTCTGTAATTCAATTATTTCGATTTCCTTTGCTTTAATTATTTCTTGCGCTTGCGCTATTTGTTCTCCTATTGAGTCTTTGTCTTGGCTAATTCTTTTCTTTTGCTTTTCGATTTCTTGTAATTCTTGGTTTTTCCTGGCTAACTTTTGGTTTAATCGAGAAACATTAGATTGAGAATTATTAAACTTAATTTCGGCCAAAGATAATATTGACTTTTTTCTCTCGCGAAACCTTTTTTTAGCACCAAAGTAAACATTTTTGGCTGTTTTTAACTCATTTTTTAATCTGGCAATTTCTTCCTCGATTGTAATCGCCCATTGTTGAAACTCGTTTCGTAAATCTTCTACATTA